TTTCCCAGAAAACTCATCTTAGCTCAATAAGCTAACTTTATAGTCATAAGACACCCAGAAGCAAAGGTTAATTTTGTATACTCTATTGAAATACATGAGGCAATTCTTTCCCAAGATCCTTTTCTTTCTTCTTTCTTTTACTTTTTTTTTTTTACTCAAATAAAATTTTGCCATTAACTTTATCTCTACAAATTTGGCTACAAATCATTACAGCTGCTTTTAAAATCAAGTAAATGAGAATTTACTAAATAATTTCCTTTCTGTCTTCTCACCTTTTAGGAAAAGGTACTCTGCATTCGCTGCTCTTAGCACTGGGCGTCTGCATATTCATATGACAAATAGAAGCACTTGACTGACCCTATGGCCTCCTGTCCCTTTAAGCCTCAGGAAATGGCACAGGAGAGCAAAGACACAAAGGACCAAAAATGGAGGACGAGGTACCAATCACTAAGATAACCAACCAGCCACTACGACACCTCCACTGTATAACTATAAACATAAAACTTGAATTTGCTGTGAGAGGGACCAGCAGTTAGCGTAATGGCTATATGTCGCTGGACTCCCATATATTCTACCGCAGTTCAAGTCCCGGACCTGGTGGCTTAAACTCATGCTGGGCACGTGTACGTGCATGCCCAAGATCCAAAGAGAAGAATGAAGGAGAAGGGATTGCGATGTGGCCATCCCCCTGAAGGGGTGATTTCTCGCTTTCTGTCTCTCTGCCTCTCTCTGTCTTTCTGGAAAGTGCATACACCCTATAGCAAAAACCTCTCCCAAAAAAAGAAAAAAAAAAATTGCAGCGAGATCTTCCCATAGAAAAAGTGCTAAATGTTGAATTTCTATATTTAGTCACATACACAGACACTGAATGCTGCCCATTTGTATGCACCAGTGGTTCCTAAATGCTTGATTCGATATCGTCAACAGTGTAAAGGTTTTCCATATGCAAATCTAAATGTATATTTATTTCACAAAAGTAGAAAATTATGAGGCTTTAATAGATTTGACCATGAACATCATGACATATGAAAAACAAAAAGCCTGGAACAATAGGTCAAAATGCATAGAATAAGAGTTGTCATAAATTTTCTTACATGGTAGTAAGTCTATGTGCACAGATACTCCTTTTCATTCCCTAGGATGACTAGTATTTCAGAGTGTTGGTCTAGGCTACAACGTCGTTCAGTTTTTGCTCTCAACATGCTTCTAATAATTATGTCAATGTTAAGAAACATGAATATACTTTTAACCTGCATCCTAAATATTCATAACATTCCAAAATTTACTTCTTTTCTTCCAACAACATCACAGTTTGAGAAAACAGACTCTTTAACTTGTCTTCAGTGAAGCTCAATATAAAAATGTAATTGAGGACCAGCAGATGGCAAAACAACTGCATTGCTGAACTCCCATGTAGTCAACCATGTTTTGAGTCCCTGGCCCGGTAGCTTAAAAACTCACACTGGGTGCGTGTGTGCGTGTGCCCAAAACTCTAAGAGGAAATTAGAGAAGAAGGGATTGTGGCATTGTTATTCCACCTGGGGGACGATTTCTTACTTTCTGTCTCTCTGGTCTCTCTGGCAAACTCCTGTGCCCTATAGCAAAAATCTCTTTCTTAAAATAACAACAGAAGAAAAAAAAAAAAAAACCTGTAATCGAGCTCTATTTCTAGGTTTCCGGGTTTTGAGAAGGTCCCCAGGTAGTGCATGTACATGATGGGAGAGACATTTTTCTTTTCTTTAGAGATTTATAGCCCAATAGAAGGTTCAGGTTAGAGCACTGTCTTTTGCTTGTCCCTAGCAAAAATTCCAAAATTAAGTGAAAACATTGTCTATAGTAACATCTACTAGAAAGAAGGAAAGTTCTAAAATAGAAATAACGATATTTCCCAGAAAACTCATCTTAGCTCAATAAGCTAACTTTATAGTCATAAGACACCCAGAAGCAAAGGTTAATTTTGTATACTCTATTGAAATACATGAGGCAATTCTTTCCCAAGATCCTTTTCTTTCTTCTTTCTTTTACTTTTTTTTTTTAGATTTTTGTTTTCTCATAGGGTGCATACATTCACCAGAGAGAGATAGAGAAGGAAAGTGAGAAATCACCTTTCATGGGGAGGACCATGCCACAATCCCTTCCCCTCCATTCTTCTCTCAGAATTTTAGGCATGCACACACACATGCCTGATGTATTTTTCAGGCCTCTGGGTCTGGGATTCAAACTGTGGAGTTGGCCATACAGAATCCAGTGCCTTATCCACATTCCACCTGCTGGCCTCCTCCCAAGACCCTTTAAATAAGTGAAACAAAACCAAACACAATTTCTGCTTTTTCAAGGACTCTGACAAAGGACGACATTTCCTATGCAGCCTTTGCCATGTTTATCCTTTCGTACACATTCTCATTCCAAAACACTTCCTGGGCATGACAGCTCTACGTGTAAAGATGACATTACTAGGAACAAGATTCTGCAGTTTTGTAAACACCGATAGAGTCACAAAACACATACATCAAGGATCTAGAGGCTGTATGTCAGCCAAAAAGTGAAATTCGACACTGTGTGAGGCAATCTCATGTGGAAACGTTCCTGGTTCAAATCTGGAGGCCAATCTGAGTATGCTGGGTACATGCTGGGCTATGATCTGGGGTTGGCTGAAGACTAGGGGTGAATTGTGGTGCTGGGATGTGTTAGGGTACTTATCTCTTTGTCTATCTCCTTGTCTGTCTGTGTGTCTCTCTTGCTCATGGAAGAAAAAATAAACTTCAAAATAATTAAAGAGACAGAAATGAGTCAACAAATCTGGTATCAACCTACCTCCTCTCTAATTTGTCTTACTCAGCATTTCACTTTAATTATATCAAATTCCCATGCTAATTATTATCAAGATGTTTTTTATCCTTTTTATGCTTTCTTTTATAAAATAAGTAACAAATTTAAAGAGGAATATAATATTACTAGAGTACACTTAATGGTATACAACATCATTTTTCACACTATTTCTTTATGACACTGGATCCCTGTGGATACAGACAAGATGTTTTTATGATCCTTCTCTCATTGGGCAGTGGAGAGTGGCTAGCAGACCCATATGGTTTAACCCGTTTCAAAGTGTTGATCTCTTAAGGTAAGTTAAAAATTTTTTTTTTCATCTCTACAAAACCATAAAGTAAAAATATTGTTTTTCCTAATCCAGTTTTAACAGTGGTCATAATACATTATTACTTTAAGATTCCGCCTACTTTTTTAAATTTATAATTGTTACTTTTTTTTTTTTAATAGTGTCAGATCATAAGGTCATGTACTAGATTGACGCAGTGTGCCAGTAGTTCAAAATAACTCCTGTAGTCTGAGGCCACTGGCCTCATCACATAACACTTATATGCCCCATAGTCGCTTTAAGACCTTGTTAATTACATTTACAAAGTGGTAAAACAGCGTCAGATTAACGCACCACAAATACGCTTTTTGTTATTACCCTCTCCCATTTTCTCCTATCCTAACACATATACCATTACTATTTAAGCCAATTATTTTTCTAAGCTGACATTTTTCTGCTTCTCATCTTCCACATATTGCTAATTATAAAATGAAAATATCGCCAGTAGAATGATGTACTTTGCTTTCTGGGGCCAACATCAATACAGAGATGTGTGAGTTCGTATTTTTAACCAGAAGCAAAACCTTGTTCGTAAAACACTCCCATATTCAAGGATATCACATACATTTCCCCCCAAAGAGATCTTTGTCAGGTTAGACTCTAACAAATCAATAAAACTGATGATTTAGTAGCCCTCTGTGAGACTGTACACAACTGCAGAACACATTTTCTTTTCTGAAAATATTTAAATAAGGAGTTTGGATCAAGGGAGAACAGTAGAAAGCCAGAAAGCACAAAAATCTCCTAAAACTAAATTAGGTCGATGAGTTTATACTGGAAAGTTTAATCCCACACTCCTATTATAATATAATATTGAGCATGTTTTTTTAATACTTCAAACTGGATTTTTTTTTCTCAGAATGTTTTATGATTTGGGGGAGTGGAGCTATTTAAAATAATCCATAAATTAATAGTAGCGCATTTCATTTTATCACCATTACTGTATTTTGTTTAAAATTAGAGTTATAAAAATGATAATATTGGATAATATTACTGGGAGAGGGTTAAACTTTCAGGGACATAAAACCTAAGAGTTACAATGATAAAGAACTATCAGTTGAAATAACACACATTAAAAAAAGGGAAAAAAATATTTAAATATGTGAACAGAAAAATAAAGACATTTTAGGTCTACATGACCTACTTTGGGTAAAGTCAAAAATACTGTCCAAGGAACCAGTAAATGGCATAATGGTTATGTTGCTGGATACCCATGTAGTTCACCGCAGTTTGAGTCCTGGACCTGGCGGCTTAAAACTCAGGCCAGGCATGTGTGTGAGCATGCCCAAGATCCCAAGAGGAGAATGGAGGAGAAGCGACTACTGCATGGCCATCCTCCCTTGGTGGTGGTGGTGGGGGGGATTTCTTGCTTTCTGTCTCTCTCAGTATCTCTGGTGAGCACACATGCCCTATTGCAAAAATCTTTCTGAAGAAAAAAAAATATTGTCTAAAATGACGGATGTCCTTATAAGAAGACAAGACTTTGAACACAGAGAAAGAGAGACACAAGAAGTCCATGTGATGACAAGGCACAGATGGGATTAATTACAGCTGCTGGTTAAGGTTAGTTTAGGATGTATGGCTTCCACATGAAAGAAGAAAAGAGGCAAGGGAGGATTCCACCTAGAGTCTCAAAGAATCATGGCCCCACTGATCTTTCATTTCCAATTTTCATGGCAGAATTAATTTCTCTGGTTTAAAAAGAGCCACCCAGTTTGTGGCACTTTGTTATAGCAGCCCTAGGAAATGCATACACTCATTTCATTTTGTCATAAACTCAAGTGGAAAGTCCAAGGAAGGAACATGAATTAGGTAAGTGATGTCAATACCAGGAAAATCTTACCTGCAACGTAGTCACCAAATCCAATGGTTGTTAGAGTGATGACCACAAAATAAATGGCGTCCAGGGCACTCCAGCCTTCAATGTGCTTGAATATGACGGCAGGCAGAGCCACAAAGAGTACACAGCCAAACAGTATGAAGATGATGGTGGAGATGATGCGAATCTTGGTCTGACTCACATTCCACTTCTACATGTCAGAAGAAAGAGCGAGAAATTGATTACAACATGTTCACACAGCTAACCTATGTCCTGTTAGTAAATTCCCGAGTATCTTATTTTATTCTCTTTTATACTCAATTTTCAATTATCTTTACTGATGAAAATTAAGTATAGCATAAGTAACTCAATCAATGCTAATAATGATACTACTTTTCCTGTACGTAGCTTTATAACAGGTAAAATATGTTCATAAGTAAATTACATTTGCTCTGACAATACAATTTCAGATTTACATCATTGTTTCACTGATCTACTGGGTCATCAGAAAAGTGATGACGGGGACCAGCAGTTGGCGTAGTGGCTATGTCACTGGACTCCCATGTAGTTGACTGCAGTTTAAGTCCTGGACCTGGTGGCTTAAAACTTACGCCGGGCGCGTGTGTGCGAGTGCCCAAGATCCCGAGAGGAGAATGGAGGAGAAGGGATTGTAGCGTGGCCATCCCATCTGGGGGGTGATTTCTCGCTTTCTATCTCTCTGTCTCTCTCTGTCTTTCTGGCGAGCACATGTGCCCTAGAGCAAAAACCTCTCAAAAAAGGAAAAGAGGGACCAGCAGTTAGCGTAATGGCTATGTCGCTGGATTCCCACATAGTCGACCGCTGTTCAAGTACTGGACCTGGTGACTTAAACTCACGCCGGGTTCATGTGCGTGTGACCAAGATCCTGAGAGGAGAATGGAGAAGAAGGGATTGCGGCGTGGACATTGCCCCCTGAGGGGTGACTTCTCGCTTTCTGTCTCTTTGCCTGTCTCTGTCTGGCGAGTGTATGCACCCTATAGCAGAAACCTCTCCAAAAAAAAAAAAAAAAAAAAAAAAA